TTAAAAAGGGAGCTTCCTGCTAAGTAATGTGAAAGATGGAAAGAAAAGAAGAAAAAACTCCTCAAGGAGTTTACTTCTGTTAGGAGGAAAATGTCAGCAACTATATTACCAGGGAAAGTGGGTAAGCTCCACAAGAAGGATCCATGAGAGCTCTGAAAAAAAGGTCAACTGGAGAATTTTTGAAGGCTTTATGAAAGAGATCACACTTAAAGCTAATCTCTAAAGATAAGAAAGATGGGACCAGCCAGCGGTGGTGGTGTGGGCATTCCAAATGGGAAAAAGCTCCAGCAGAGTTTCAGCGATTGATTGTGGGACAATCAAACATGATATAATAAGACTCTTCTATCTATTCATTAGTTCCAATTATTTCTCCTTAGTTTCAAAGGTGCTTGAATCATAAGTACATATTGGACTAAGCAGAAATTCCAGTTGTCCTTATAACCTCCTACAAAAATAATTTTAAAATTTAGATATCACTAAGAATATTATCAAACTATACAATAGGACTCCTTTTTAGTTTTGGTTTCATCATTTGTTTTTATAAATAGCTATCTAACTCTTTGCAAAACTAAATTCGTGGGAGGAATTTTAGGCAAAGCTTTCAGTGATTCATCTTTATGAACTTGTCATGAACAGGTCATGTACTTGCTCCTTCTTCCTTTTGAGATACTAACATTGAGACTGACCTATTATAATAATCTACTTGATTCAGGATAAATGAATACTTCTTTTTATTCTTTCATTATTTTTCAGTATAACCCCTGATATTATAAGCTGAAATGCTTAATTCAGGAGATGCTAAATAAAAATCTGAACTTTTACAAAATAATCTACACTTATCCACTAATTATAAAGATTTCTGGTGAAAATGGGATTAAAGTAAGCCATTCTCTTCTGTGGCCAGGGCTTCACTGAGTTCTTTCTACACTTACTTGTGGAGGTAGTATGATGTAGGTTGTACCAGAACTTTTTAAATTATTTTGTGTAAATCAATCATTTTTAAAAAAAAAAAAAAAGCTGCATTTGTTTTCTATTATATATATAGTATTTGGACTACATTAATTATATATTATATAATTATATATTATATATTATACTATATAAATATATAATGTAAAAAGGAATCTGAAGATTCTTAAATTCCCCTCAAGAAGGCGTGAGAGGGACTTAGTTACTCAGCTAAATCACTGTTTGAATGGAAACAGTTGTGGGCCCTGTCCTCTCTGAAAGCATCCAGGGCATTTGAAACAAACTCTCAGGTCCCATGACGACTTCTTCAGTCTCCACTATGGGGAAAATACTTTATCCTATATCTGTAAGTAGAATTATCTCAGGAGTTACTGTCAGCATGAGATACTCACTTTCTTTACCAAATAGGCATCTCTCTGCAAAGCTCTGACCTCTTTGCATTAGCTCTGCCATGATTAGAATTTCCAAATTACATGGTGCCGCCACACGCCACTAAATCAGTCAGGGTCACTCCAGGTGAATTGTTTGGCAGGAAATAATCACAAAGAGACAGAGAAAATACCTTTTTCTTGGGATTCAGCTATGGCTTCTTGGCCCCAGCTCCCACAAGAGAGGCAGACAAAAAAGAGAAAGAGCAAGAGAGCGCGCCTGAAGCCCTATTTATTGGGGGGAAAATACTCAAGAAAGTTCCATCCAAATGAGGCAAGGGATTGGGTTTCAGGGGGGTGTAGCCCAGTCTCATTGGGTGACGCCCACTCCCAAGGCTTCATTCCCCTCGCAGGGAATGAAGTCTCCACACCTCCACCACTCGAGGCTAAGGGTGCCCAGCTCCTATGTGGCTGATCCTGACAACATGGTCTCACTGGTGTTCTGAAAATAGCAGGACCTACTTTAAATCTGAATGGCCCTCAGAACACCAGTGCCATAGAATTTGCAGACATCTCTCAAATTGCAGATTGGACTCCCAGGACCTCCCTAAAAAGTGGGCACATGTTCCAAAGACTTATTTGGGCATCTGGAGGCTGCCCAGAAAAATTGAGAAACCACCTCTGCCTTTACTACTTTATGTCATGAGGATCCACAACACCAATCCTCACAGAGCCAGTAGAAAGTATTACTCATTGTCACTTTTGCCTATGAATGGATACTTGTCCTTGCTTTTAAAAGTTTCTGCCTGATGGGCACGATGCCATGTAATCCCAGTGACTCTGAGGCTGGGGCAGGAGGATCACAAGTTTGAGGCCAGTCTCAGCAAGGTCCTAAACAACTTAGTGAGACCCTGTCTCAAAATAAAGAATAAAAAGGGCTGAGTATAGGGGCTGAGGATGTGGCTCAAGCGGTAGCGCGCTCGCCTAGCGTGCATGCCGCCAGGGTTCAATCCTCAGCACCACAAACGAAGATGTTGTGTCCGCGGAGAACTAAGAAAAAATAAATAAATGTTAAAATTCTCTCTCTCTCTCTGTCCCCCTCTCTCTCACACTCTCTCTTTAAAAAAAAAAAAAGGGGCTGAGTATGAAGCCTAGTGGTTAAGCAACCCTGAGTTCAAACCCCAGTACCAATTAAAAAAAAAAAAAAAAAGAAGGAGTAGTGATTCTGCCCTCTCACAGGTGAATCTTCTTCACACCACAAGAGTGATAAGTTTGACTATCTCACTGTCCCATCAAAGTGACTATGGTTGCTTTGCCCTCCCATTTTCTAGTATGTTACCTCTCTGCATGATGTGGTAAATACCAAGCCAAATGCTGGTGAAGGGAATCCTATTTGCAACATTCAGGCAATAATTCTCAGCCCAGGGTTCTGTGCTTCAGACTAGCTGAGAACTATTTTTCTTGATGAATACCCCACCCCACCTACCCACCACCTCCAACCAACTAAGGCTTTGGTAGACCATGTCCTTTCTCCTTCCCACACCTCATTGAGATCCACTGATAGGTACTCTCTCAAAGAAACAAAGAATACACACAGTCATAATAGAAGAATATGAAGACAAAATTAGACATCAAGAGGAACCATTGATGGGTGTTATCATTTAAGGGACAAAAACACTGAATGCCTTCTGATAGTAGGAATCAAGTAATCTCCAGGGCCCAAGAATTCCACACTTGGAAGTCTGTCTTTTTTAGCTATGGTTCCTAAATATAGTACATTAGAGCTACTTGGGGAGCCTAGTGAAATGGAGAATCCACAGATCTGGAATCAACAAGCATTTGGGTTTGGGATGCACAATGAAGCTGGGGAAGTCTGCCCCGGGCCAGACACTGCATCCTAGAGCATTCACACTTGCCCGTGCCATGGTCAGTCCCTATAGAGTCATCATAATTCCTACCCTGACACTCCTGCTTTCTATTAAAGAATAATTCTACCCTGATCCCTCCTCCTTATCTTTGGATAGTTCTAGGCCTGGTTCTTTCATGTCATTCTCTACCTGGATTGCACACCTTGAACCTCACTCAGAAATCTCTTTTCTCAAGTTCCCTTTCCCCTGAACTTGCTCTCTAAGAGATATAATTGATTCTGAGATACTTCCCCTCTCCTGAACTCCACCCCACATTCCACTAAAGGGATGGAGAATGTGGAAGGAGATCACATTTGTCGTGCTTCTGCTAGTAACAGGCACAGGGGAAGCTCTTCATACACAATTGACTCATCTGTCATCAGGTTCCTATTAGGAAACTGAGTCAGAGAATGTAAAGACTTGGACTGAAGTAGTCCACTTTAGGTACTATGGTAGAGTTTGGATTTGAACCCAGGAACTGTCTGGTTCCAAAGCTATGTTTTTTGAGCTTCCTAAACACATGTCCCGCCTGTTCTGTAAGCATGCAAATACCTTCTCCCAACCAACTGGTATCTTATAATGATTTAAATTGTTCCCAAAAATTACATTATACTTCATACCAAGTTTAATAGTTCTAATAGAAGATAAAGTCCAACTAAAATGAGACTTTACTAAAAGCAGTCTTTTAAAAATAAAAAAGAAGCAGTTTCCCATCACCACTTAGAGGGGCAATTTGATGTTTCACAAAACTCACTAGCATCAGTGTGTTGAGATTTTCAGATGGTGTGCAGTTGACATATACTAGGGCCAGAATCTCAGCATTGCATTCATTTTCCAGAAAAAGAACTCAGCATAAAATGCAGCTAATAGTAAGGTTTTGTTGAGGTTTTTTGCATAATAAAAGTCGTAACTGAACAACATTCGCAGCAGACACTCCTCCCCATAAATCCATGGAGACTGGAAAGCATTTCAGAGGAACACAAACCCCAAGTAGTCTTTGGCAAGGGGTAATTTGCCATGATGATAGTTAAATAAGGAGAATACTGAGTGGATGACTACAAAGAAGCATCTTGAAAATAAAACTGGCTGTGCCTGATGTCTGTCATTTGAAATGTATATAAAATTTCTCACATGTGGAGCCCAAATTGATCTCTTTTTTGACGAGGCAGACTTGACAATGCATACCAAGAAGCTTAGATCATACTTTTTTGACCTAGTAAACCCACTCTTGAGAATTTATCTTAAGGAAATATTTATAAGATGAAGATTATGTATATTTTTATAACACCATGATTTATAATTATCAGGAAACTGGAAACAACCTATTTTCCAGAAATAAAGAAAAGGCTTAGTACTTTTTGGTATCTTAATTCTTATAATATGATCATATCATACTAACAAAGAAAAGGGTATTCAATGAAAGGTATAGAAACAAAAATGTAAATATGTGGTGGTTATAGACATATAAAACTACATATGTTGCTAAAGACTAGAAGGGAAAACAGATGAAAACAGTTACAGTGAGATATTATAAGAGGTTTTTAAACATAAAAATTTCTTTCTTTCATAATATTTTGTTTTTTCATCTTATTTTCCCAGCTGTAACTTATACAGAATCATATTTCATAATTATCTTGGGGTCAGAAGATTATTTTACAAAGGACATGTGTGGATCATTTCTAGCCAAGTGTGAAATACAAAGAATTACTGATTGACAAATACTGTTGCTGGTGTGTGCTTGTTTGTTTTTTTACAGTGAGGGGAATCTGGCTACAAAGCAGGTGGTATTCCTTCAGAGGCCAGTTATGTGGAATTCAGCTGTGCAGACCCCAGAAGTGAGTAGAATTGATGCTTTATGAATTGGATATGATATTAAAGCATTTAATCCCTAAATTCTCATTGTAATTCCAAATGGTGAGTACAGATGATGAAGTGGGGACTTGATATGAAAACATTCTTCTGAATGTTCCCTTCTGTCTTCTGTAAGAAGGGAAATATGTTAGCCATCAAGCAACATGAGATAGTTCTGAAGGGGTCTAAAATATACCATTCCAAAATATGCCACTTTGGTATAAGGATTATTTTGAGCTGAAGGAATTAAGAAATAGCAAGTACAAGAGAAACTCTCCACCCTCCTTTTTTCTCCAGAAAAACAGGGCATAAATTTAACATCATAAACCAGGTGTGGTAGTGTACACCTGTAATCCCAGGAACTAGGGAGGCTGAGGCAGGAAGATCATAAATTCAATGCCACACTGGGAAATTTTGAGAACTAGTACCAAAATAAAAATAAAATAAAAAGGGTTGTAGATGTAACTCAGTGACTGGCACCACATAAAAATAAACAAAGATATTATGTCCATCTACAACTAAAAATATTTTTTAAAAATTTCAGGATGTTGAGATTATTTCAGGCAGAACATGTGGGTAAAGCAATCTGGAGTATCTAACCTCTATAACAACAAGCCAACTTGCAAATTCTTTTAGTTTTCTCTAGAGATACAAAAACTATTAATATTACCACAGTCAACTTAGCTATTCATATATATTTTGTGAAAGTTAAATTTATAATATACCTTGAAAAAATTATGCAATCATACATTTGTAATGGCACTGTTGTTCTTTGTTTGTACTTTATAATCAGTTGTTGTTTGGGAGATTTCTCTATAGGTTTTTCAGATAATTTTGTCAAATATGTTTAGTTCTAAAAACAGTCGGTGGAAATTTGGACTTGACAAGTGTTGCCCTAGGTTTGTCAATGAGTTTTTATTAAAATGATCAATTTCATGAGCTGTTAGATATTGACCTAGAGTCTGACCCTTGGGGGAAAAAAATATTTTCCCTTTCTTCTAGTAAGAATAATGTCAAGGGGCTGGGGCTGGGGCTCAGTGGTAGTGAACTTGCCTGGCATGTGTGAAGCACTGGGGTCGATCCTCAGCACCACAAATATATAAATAAAGAAAGAAAAGGTCTATCAGCAACTAAAAAAATAAAACTAAAAAAATTACAAAAGAAAAAAAAAGACTAATGTCAAGATATGTAAGACTTTTCCTATCTAATTGTACTCAGCATAGAACAATATTTTTATGTCAAATCCATTTCATGGCCCTGTGGTCAGGAGAGAAAACAGAATTATGAAAGAAGTCTGCTGTTGGAAATTTTTCTCTGCAGTTATCAAGACTTTACTTTTGGAATTTGTTTTATATTTCATATACTTTATGCAATATTCTAGGTAGCTTAAAAAGTTTTAACATGAAAATTATCAAGTCAAAACATGCTTCCATTTACTACTGCCTCAGTTTTCTTTCTCTTTCTTTGGTACTGGGAATTGAATCCAGAAGCACTTTACCCCTAAACCACATCTCCAGCCCTTTCTGTTTTTTTATTTTGACACAGTTCTTGCTAAATTACTGAGGCTGGCCTTGAGCTTGGGGTCTTCCTGCCTCAGCCTCCTCATTTACTGGGATAATAGGACTACACCACTGTGCTGGGTGAGCCTCAGTTTTCTTTAAGCTGTTAAAAGATGTCTATGTTAGTAGAACTAGAAAATTTTTAGAAAAAAAATGTTAGAATAAAATGCCCATAAAGAGGGGTTAAGCAAAGAATTCTTAGACATAATCACAAAAACATAATCCATTAAAAATTTGTTCAATTAGATTTCATCAAAATTATGAGTGACAATGTTCTATGAATAACACTATTAAAGAATGAAATGACAAGCCATAGATTGAGGGGGGGAGAATAAACTCACCTTACATACATGACAAAGGACTTGTATCCAAAATGTATCAAGGACTCTCAAAATCTAACAGTAAGAAAAATAATGCAATTTAAGAAATAGTTAAAAGACTTGACTCCCTCACCAATGAGGACATATACATGAGAAGTAGATGAAAAGATGCTTCAACCACTAGCCCTCAGGGAAGTACAAATGAAAACCCGATGAGATACCCTCATACTACACCTATTAGAACAGCTAAAAAAAAAAAGAAAAAAAAAGAAAAGAAAAATGAAAGAACTGGTGAGGATAAGGAGGAAACAGAACTGTCATGCCATTGCTGGAAAAGTGCAAAATGGTACTTTCCAGCCTCTCTGGAAAACTTTTTCACAGTTTCTTTAGTTAGCAATTCTCTCAGATGTTTATATAACTTAGCAATTCTCTCAGATGTTTATCCTAGTTCCAGGATACAAACTTAAATTAATTAATTATATTAAGTAATTATATTAATTATATTATATTAATAATTAATTAGGATTAATAATTAAGATACAAACTTAAGTTAAATACAAACTTAAGTTCACACCAAAATCTATATGCAAATATATATAGCAGTTTTAGTCATACCTACTGAAAATTGGGAACAACCCAAATGTCTTCAACAGGTGGATGGATAAACAATTATGGTATGTCCATACAATTAAACATAACTCAGAAATGAACTAGTGATACAAATGATAACTTGGACAAATCTCCAAGGTGTTATACTGGGTAAAAGAAGCCAGGCTCAAAAGGTTAGATTGTATTATTCCATTCATCTGACATCAAGAAGACAAAACAATAGTGTGAAGAACACATCACAATACTGTTGTCAGGAATTAGGGGAGGAATAAAAAATGATAGAGGGGTAAATGGAGTTTTTTAGGTGATAGAACTACTCTGTGTACTGATTATGATTACACAAACCTATAAATGTGTTAAAATTCACAAAACTATACACTCAAAAGTCACTTTTACTATATGATCATTTAAAAAATAAAATTTCAAGCTGGGCACAATGGCACATGCCTCTAATCCCAGCTACTCGGGAACTGAGACAGGAAGAATATGTGAGCCCAAATGTTCAAGGCCAGCCTGGGCAATATAGTAAGACCTCATTTCAAAATAATAAAAATAAATAAATGAATAAAATTTCAAAAGATCAGTTGCTTTGTAAATTACATAGACTACATTTTTAATGTCTTGTTTGTCTATAAAGGCTGTTTTTGGATAATGTAATTCTTATTAAGTACAATGAAGTTCTTAACCTTCTTTTTTCTACATGAGGTTATGTGGTGTGGTAAAGTCCTTTTCTTTTTTTCTGTTCTTATCTATTTTTACTTTATTATGGGGAGAGGTCTCTATAAGGTCCTTGCTTAGCATCTGGACAACCATCTTAAGTGACAGCTTCCATTTTAAGAAAAATTTCACTTTCCTGCCCAAGGGCGTTTCTGAAAAAGGCTCACCACTCCCTCATACCAACCCCACCCTAATCCACCACCATTAAGACCCACCCAGCTCTGATTTCTGAGCCTGCCCTATAAAAATCCCAGAACCCAAGTCTGTTTCGCCTCTCTCTCTCTCCTATAGAGAGATGGTCTTTTTTTGGCAGCTCTGACAAATAAACTTTCATGTGTATCTCTGTCTGGTCTCAGCCTTTCATTTTTCACTTACCCATTTCTCATTCCTCGCTTTCCCTTCAGTCTCTAAATGGATTCAAGGAAAAGATAGCCTTGCTAGGAAGGGGAAGAAATTCTGATCTGGATTTTACCTTCATCCAGTTAAATGTTCTCTTAAATTTTTCTTCCAAGATCTCCTTTCTTAATTTTTTGTTTCAAATAAAACTCAGCCTATGTTCCCTTTGAATCTTTTTTCTTAATTTTTAAAAATTTTTACTTTTTTGGCACTAGGATTTACCCAGGTGTGCTAAACCACTGAGACACATCCCCAGCCCTTTTTGTTTATGAGACAGGGTCTTGCTAAGTTGCTGAGGCTGGCTTTGAACTTGCAATCCTCCTGACTCAGCCCCTTGAGTCACTGGTTTACAAGTCTTCACCACTGGGCCTGGCTTTCCCTTTGATATTCATTTAAAGGAAACAAAAGGTCACTTAAAGTATTTGGTTTCTACTAACTCATCCAATGGTGGCCCCAGGAGTAGGCAACAACCATGAAAGGTTTTCTGGGGCTTGGGGTCAAGTAGAAACACACAATGTCTGCTGCACTCTCGAAACCTCCATTTCCCTGTCTATAAAATACAGTTAACATTAGTACATACCCCAGGGCTCTTAAGGGAATTAAGTCTGAAACACATGTAGATGTGTTTGGCACAATGCCTGACAGAATGAGCGATTGCTACTGTTTTCATAGGAATGTTTTTCTTTTAATACCATTAAACACTACTAACTATATGGAGAAACTATTCAGAAACTGAATATAGGGCTTCTATTTTCTCCAACTAAAATTTACCTTCAACTATTATATAGAAATGTAATTTATTAATGATTCTGTACTTTCCTGAACACATACATACATAGCAAAATATTTTAAAAAGGTGCATACTGTACTCTCCTTCAAACTTTCTGTATTACTTGACATTTTTCATATTTGGAAAGTTGAGAGAAAGAAATTGTCTCAAGTTAAAAAGCATTTTTTCCAGCAACTTTTTTTCCATGTTGGTTGTTCATTAGTTTCTAAGCTACTCGAGATGACAGAGAAAAGAATGGCTAATGCAGGAGGAAGGACTTATTCTCTCTTGTAATAGTATAAGGTTGGCACTCCAGTGTGGGTAATGGCTCTGCCTCATGACCAGTCAGCCTTGCCACCTCAACCTCTGGCTCTTGCCTCTGGACCCAGGGCTACTACAGCAATTGTTACCATGTTCAGCCTTGAGAAATAGGAAAAAGGAATTCCAAGCATGCTTCTCAGACTGACTTTCACACCATAGGCATCATTTGTTTTCACTTCCTCTTGGCCAGAACTTATTTATGACTCTACATACATCTTCAAGGGAGGCAAGGAAGATTAATCTGGGCAGCCATGTGCTAGTACAAAAGTATGGGATATTCAAGGGGAGATATTCGGTTACTAAAAGAAAGATGGACCGAATGGATCCTTCAATTTTTTTTTTTTTTTTTACTCAGGGCCATGTCTATGTGAGGCAAGCACTCTACCAACTGAGCTATATCCCCAGCCCAGGAATTCAATTTTTTAAATATAAATTGGATTTATACTTTAACTGATACATAAAAACATAAAAATGTACATATTAATGGAGTACTGGTATGTTTAATAATGTTTAATTTAAGTTAAACATGTATATTTTCAAATTTCTATCACTTTTTTATGATGAAAACTTTCAAAATCCTTTCTTCTAGCTTTTTTTTTTATATGGTAGTAATTTGTTATCTATAGATAGAACTTCTTACTCCTAACTGTAACTCAGTTCAGTACACATTGATCAACAGTTCCCTTCCTCCCCCGACTCAACTCTCTCCAGCCTCTGGTAATAACCATTCTATTTTGCACTTCTATGAGATGAACTTTTGATATTCCACATGAGTAAGAATGTGGTACTTGTCTTTCTGTGCCTGGCTTATTTCACTTAACATAATGATCTCCAGTTCCATCCATGACAGAATTCCATTCTTTTTTATGATAGAATAGCATTCCATTATATATGTATGTAAATTCCAAAATGGACCACATTTTCTTTACACATTTATCAGTTGATGGACATGTGTTTCCATTTCAAAATTGTGAATAGAGCTGCAATAATCATGGGAGTGCAGATGTCTCCTTGACATACTGATTTAATTTCCTTTGGATAGGTATACCCAGGAATGGAATTGCTTCATATCATAGTTCCATTTGTAATTTTTGAGAAACCTCCATGCTGTTTCCCATAATGACTGTACTAATTTACATTCCCATTAACAGTATGTAAGGGCTCCCTTTCTCCATATCCTGGCCAGTTTTAATCTTTTTGATAATAGCCATTCTCACTGGGGCAGGGTGAAATCTGTTCATGGTTTTGATTTGCATTTCCCTTTTGATTAGTGATGTTGAACATATTGGCCATTGTTTTTTTTTTTTTTTTAGAAACACCTATTTAAATCTATTGTCCGTTTTTTAAATTGAGTTATTTGTGGGGTCATTTTGCTATTGAGCTTTTTGGAGTTCCTTATACATTCTGGATATTAACTCCTTGTCAGATGTATAGTTCAAAAATATTTTCTCACATTCTATAGGTTGTCCCCCCACCCTACCCCACAACACACACACACACACACACACACACAGAGAGAGAGAGAAGAAGAAGAAGAAGAAGAAGAAGAAGAAGAAGAAGAAGAAGAAGAAGAAGAAGAAGAAGAAGAAGAAAGAGAGAGAGAGAGAGAGAGAGAGAAAGGAAAGAAGTACTTCTTTATCCTAGAGTCAGTATAATAGCCCCAGGGAACAACTCTGGATTAGCTGGGGTCACCTGCCCACACTGCAGCATAGGAGGTGAATTTAGAAAGCTGGCTGGAGAAGTAGATAGTCCACTCCAGCCTTTCTCCTCATAGGCTTGAATGATTTTGATAGCCCCAAACTGGGATGATCCAGGAAAACGCTTTATGAGAAGGTAGAGGTGGTGCCTTTGCATTGTTTCAAAACCTCAAACCAAGAGTGATCCTTGGGCTTGAAGTGGCTTCCTAATCTAAGAGAAATAAGTTCTGACCATCCACTCTACATTGCTATCTCTCTATAAATTCTCTCTTGATCACTCTTCTATTCCGTCCTTTATGAGTAAGCCACTTTCCTACTCGTCCAACACAGTGTCCTAGGATTGCTGGAGTGATTCTAATTTAATTCTTTTTATTTTGTTTTTAAGACACTGACCGTGAAAAATGAAAAGTAGAGTGGTAGGACATCCTAAAATCAACCAACTTGTCACTGAGTCTAATGTATTTTTAGTGGGTCACTTCCCCCCTCTTTTTTTGAAAATGGAAATGACTCTAAAGTTAATAGGTTAAATCAAGGGAAGCATTAAATTTGCATCCAAACCTTGGTAAAATTTCTCCCATTTTATAGTGAAAATATAAGAAAGTGGAAAGGTATGTGAGTAAACCTTATCATACAGCATGGAAAAAAATCTCTCTTTATGGACATAGATAGTTGTAAAATAGTACTAAGTGGAAAAGTGAGGCATAAAACTTTTTGTGTAATATTTTATACATAGTGTACACGATACAAATGCATATGTATTTGAAGAAGAAAACAAAATTTTAACAGTAGTATTTCTGGGAGATAGGATCATAGATGAGTTTGCTCTTTTCTTGTTTTTGCCAAGTTATCTACATTGAACATTTTTACTTTTGTAATTGAAAGAAAATTGTATTTAAGAAACACAAACCCTTTTACCACAAATAAATTTCTACAAAAGTGACCAATACATTATAAAAAGAAGAAGGTAGAGACTCAGGCACCAGTTTGGGGCCTGCTACTCCATGACCTTGGACAAACCCTACCTTATTTTTAGGCCTGAATTCTACCTCTGAAAAAATAAGGGAATTTAAGGATATGGTCTCTAAAGATTGCTTGGACTTCAGACTCCTACAATCTGAGTTATAAGGACACTACAAATTGGTTTGTTGGAAAAGCTGTTATTTCCTGTGGAATGGGGTTGGGGTAGGAGAGGCAATTTCATTGCTAAAGATGTATTTATTGAATTTATCAGTCACATGGATAGAAAAAATAAAAATGTGTGTTCTGAATTCTTTTAGAGGTACAATGTTAAGTATTTTGTCACCTGAAGTGAAATTTATTAGTGATCATCTAAAAGTGGAGAAATATGAATATCTTACTCTGAGAAATATTCAATTTTTATTAAGTAAGTACTTATTAAATATGTGAGAGTTAGCCTCTGTTAGCTTGTATACAATTAGGAATTTCTTGCAAAACTCACCTTTGGCCCTGTTGCTGGTGAGGAAGGAATGATCCAAGCAGCCAAGGGACTAGGCACCCCTGCCTTCCCATTTTGATTCAATGAGTATTAAAAGCATTGAGACCATCTTTCGAGAGTGAATGTGTTCTTTATTCCTGTGGGAAAGGCACCCCCAACCAGGCTTGAGAAAAGAGCTCAGTCTGGCAGAGCTTGTCACTTCTGCCTGAAGCCAAAAGATTATATCCTTGCTGACCACACACACAGTGCCAGGGAGAAGGTGCCATTCTCAAATCGAGTATCCTATCTGAGAGTAAATTCAGGTTTCAACTGCTTGTGCTGAATTCAATAAATGTGGTGAATGGGAACAGAGGAAAAGGATTAATTATCTAGTATTTGCATTTGGTGAATACAGGGTGCCAATGGAAAATGTGAGCACCACAGAACTGTATCTGAATTGGGCCTTTGCTGAGGAAGGACCAGGTAGATTTTTCCCTTAAAGTTGCCCACAGATTCCAGCAAGTTGCCCATGAGAAAATGAGCTGCCCGGGTGCTGCCAGTGTGTTCCTTTCTAAGCAACACCTGGGGCTGATCTTCCTATTTAATGTCTCCGTGGTGTTTCATTCCATATAGCCCACAAAATCCAATTCAGTAAAGTTGTTTGTTTTCTATCTTTGCCAAGAAAATCAGTAGAAAATACTTATATATTTTATACACTACAGTTCAACAAACCTATGGATTAACACACTTTGGGAAGACCAGCATGGGCTTCTAAGTTTTTCATAGAGTTTCATTCTTACATTTAGGAAAATATAATCTTAGTTGCCAACTAACATATAAATGAATCTTTGGTTTTAAAAAAAAAGACACTTTAAATAGGGAAACTACTGTGCTTTTTAAATTTATCTTTAAATCCTTGTTTGTTTTTTATGTGCCTAAGATTATGGATCACATTCCCATATGTTGCATTGTATCAGTGTTAAAGAAACCCTTGTAATAAGATCTCATCAGGAGTCTGAATATCCATGTTGAGCTGCTGATTCTCCTTAGGCTCCTTTTTTGACTTAGATATCTTATTTTTGACTCAGTTTTCTTGGCAGAGACCATGTCCTCTTTATTCTGAACTGTACCAAGGACATGGTCAGTCCTCAGTAAATATTTATTAGCAAAACATCCACAGCTTATCGAAGTCTGACGAATGCACTGGATCAAATTGCTGAGCATTTCATACCATCAGGGAGAAGAAGTTTGTAGCAAGATAAGGCAATGGGTCTGCTTGGTCCAGGAAGACATCCCAGGCACTTGTTCAAATGCCACCTGTGCCTCTGTGAAATGGGGGTAGGGTGGCCTCTCAGCACAGTTGCTGTTGTCTAGATCCCAGCCAACTCCAACAAGACAAAATGTATCTGTATTTCTCCCTTGCTTTGTTCCCAATCATGACTGGAACACAATTCTCTCCTTAGGTGTATACAACTCTCCTGCCAGTGAGAGGATGTACCAGGAACATTCAAGAGTTGCAAAATGGGGTAGAGGGAGGAGATGAGGAGGGTGACTACAGTTAATTTAGATAATTTTTTGCCATGCTGGGGATTGAACCCCAGGCCTTGAGCCCTGGGCCTCCTGCCCGCTAAGCAGTTGCTCTACCACTGCGATGCACCCCCAGCCCTGTCATGAGCAGGCTTTTGAACAGAAGCAGGGAAAGGACGTTTCAGGCAAAGAAGCAGCTTGTGCCAGAGCAGGGGCGCAGGAAGCACCGTCTTTTAACTCCTGGTTGCCAATCTCTTGTGTTTCAGAGGAAAGCAAGCCCTTTTATGAAAGGCGACGACAGAAACAAAGTCAGCAGCAGGAGCATCGGATTAGACGCAGGCGGGTCGCAGCCTATGGAGGCCAGAGCCCCGCCAGAGGAGGGCCGCTTCTCGCCTTCAGGAGAATGCTGGACCAAGGAGGGGAGGCCAGCACAGTGCAGTGGCTTCTCGGGGTTCAGCAGCAGCGACAGTGTCCTTCGGGAACTAGATGAAGGACAGTTTGACCAGGAGGACGGAGTGACTCAGGTCACTTGCATGTGAGCCTCCAGGTGAAAGAACAGAGGTCCTGTAAATAGTCATTAAAATAATTGCCAACTGACTATATTACTGTACCTGCATTTATGTGATATCCTTGAATTTTTAGACTCAACCTTTCCTCTAATCTGTGTAAACTTTGGCTCAATCTTCTAGACAAGGAAGAATAACCAACATATTTGTAAATTTAGAATCATGTTTACACTTCTCTCAACTAAAACATCTGTCTAAACAGATGTCCCATTAGGTTATTAAGCAATAATCTACTTCAGTTTCTCATGAATGTACAAAATATATTTTGCTTACCATTCCTGTTAAGAAGACTGAATATTCCAGTCAGTATTTTACCTAATTAGAGAATTCTCAGGAAGTTACAGAGGCTTATTTAAACTGAAAAATAATCTCTCTTTCTCTTACATACAAATCAGCACAGCGCACAGACACATAACTGATTGGTAAAAATAAATACCTATTTTCTGAATAAAACAATCCAAATTTTCTCTTTGACTATGGACTGTATATACAAAGAAAGCCCCTACCTGTTAAAATATTCTCTGAAAAACATAAATTCTTTCTGTGTGTCTTTGCTTTTAAAGACTCATCAGTTACCAGCCCTGTATTGATTCATTGAGCTTAAACATTATTGCTCCTACTAGCTTAGAAATATAGCAAAGCAGCATCTTTTAAAATTCAATACAAAAGCCAGGCATGGTGGTGCAAGCCTATAATCCTAGCAGTTCGGGAGGCTCAGGCTCAAGGCCAGCCTCAGCAACTAAGCAATTTAGCAAGACCCTATCTCAGAAAATAAAAAGGGCTGGGGATGAGGCTCAGTGCCTAAGCATCCCTGGGTTCAATCCCTGGTACCAAAACACACACACACACACACACACAAAAAAAAAAAAAAAGATTCAACACAAAACCCCAACTTGTAAAAACCTCAATAGACAGAAATATTTAATTTTCTTTAATTGTGAACACCATAAAAGAACAAAATATCAAATTTAAGTCTACATCTTTCTAGATTTGAATTATGCTTTTATTTTGACTTGCTAAATCCTGAAGAATGTTGAAACCCAGAATTTTTTTCAGTCCTGCAAGAGTGGAGAGGTGCTCATAGCACGTGTGGTGTTTATGAGGATCTGCTCATCTCTGCCTTTCTCACTACTGCTAATAGGCATGCCTTTGCCTTGCCCTAATAATATTCTGCAAAATAGAGGATTTTCATGTATGTTTGAATAGCTTACTTTAGAAGGTGAGGACCTTCAAGTGAATTACAATTGACCTTACCCATTGATGAGTTCAGCCCATTATATTTATATTTTTTAGTACTGATGTTGACATTGTAAGATCATTTGAATAATAAAATATCATTTGTTACTGGGCTATAATTTTATTGAACACACTCATATTATATATATATATATACATATATATATATATATATGATCAAATATATAGTGCAATTAAACTAAACCAATCTGCATGAATTTTTGGCAAGATTAACAGGAAATATTTTATGGCTATCTGCTTGTACCAAGTAGAAAGGGACTTAAGAACTGTCTACTCAGTCTTGTTCTGTGAAAATAGCTATCAACAGAATTTGCAGAAATGCTTTTTGTCTTGATTTTCAGATGAATCTGAGTTCTATATCCAAGAGTCCTTGGGTTTTTGATAGAAACAATCACCACTTCACAATTCCACAAAATGCTATGAAACTACAAAGCACAGGAATGTACTGAGAAAAATCAGACAGGTTTCCCAATGCCAACGTCTATAAGAGATGGAGGCTCCTTTGTCATCCTACACATAGGGATGTGAAATACCAAGAACAGAGGTAGAAATTTATATTGAACAAGGGGAAATTCAAGAATATGTCAATTTTTTAATTTTAAATGTTGTGTAAGCATGGTTTTTACATTTTGCTTTTAATCTAGGGGTTATATTTTCCTAGTTAAAAACAACAACAACAAACAAAACTGGGTACAGTTGCATATACCCATAGTTCTAACTACTTGGGAGGCTGAGGGGGGATTGCTTGAGCCCAGGAATTTGAAGCCAGCCTGGGAAACATAGCAAGACCCTGAACTATTTAAAAATAAACAACAAAAACCAGCCTTTTATTAGAATAAACTTGGCAGTCTGTCCCAGTCACAGTATTTATTTCATGCCAGGCACAAGGGCATACACCTGTAACTTGGAGGCTGAGACAGGAGGATCACAAGTTCAAGGCCAGGCTAGGCAACTTAGTGAGACCTTATCTAAAAATAATAAATAAACAGGGCTGAGACTTGGCTTGGTTATAAAGAACTTTGAGTTTAATTTCCAGTACCCCCTGCGCGCGTGCGCGCGCGCACACACACACACACACACACACACACACACCCTTATTCTGTAAGTATTTACTCCAATTCTATGTAATAAATGTGTACAATAGTGAATAGTGACCAAGCAGCTCTAGAGCATTTTAAATATACATAAGTAGCTGAGTCTATTATGAAAGAAAAAAGAAAGAAAGAAAAAAAGCAACAAAACTAGGACTCCGTGTGCATAAGTTGTTAAATGAGACTAATCTTCCAGTTGTATATTCAACCCCCAGGGCCTCACACATGTTCACTAGCACTCAGCCACTGAGCTGACCCTGAGCCCTTAAAACTTACCAAGTTTGATGAAAATGTACCAAGATCAAAGGCAAGGATGTGAAGCTTTGCCATTCCCCTTGGTATGGTATTGACGGCACTTTGTCTTAGCTTTCAATAATTACTTGGTAGTTCTATCCCATTTGGATGGAATGTCACCCTGTCATCTATCTTCCGTGGGCAGCATTTATCCCCTCATCATGGAGAATCACCATTGAACTGAGGAGCAGCTCTATCAATGCCATTACTGTTTCCTCAGTGAAAGACACAGGGAAGGGTCACTTGCTTTAAAAGATTTTAAGGTTTTCAGGAGTCTTCCACTTCCATAGAAGCAGACAGCAAAGCTACAGTGTATCAAATCACAACTATTTCCAAATCATTTGTTTTATGGGGAGCAGGTGTTTCTAATATCAAGTACCAGGTGCTCTTCTACTACTTTCATTCTGGAATAGCTGAGGAGTTGTCTCATTTTCCCTCCACCATTCTGGGCTGGAAGGACTCTCCCTCAGCATATGACGAGAATTTCCTCCTGTTAACTCGGGGCCACAGAGTCACTCTATGTGAAAAGACTAAATTCTGAGTGAGAACAAAAATGGAGGGGCTACTAACTTTGGCAAGAGTCTGCAACTAAGTGTGTTAACTAAAAATATGCTGTTGGATATGTAGGAAAACTGGCTAACTACTAACCATCAGAACTAGCAGCAGAGCCATTCAAATAATATTTGTTGTGGCAATCTATCATCCCTTGAGAGGGAATTTTATTTGTGCAATAGCAAAAGTTCACAGAAGCAAGTATATATGACCGATGAGAAAGTTCTAAAATGGTATTTGAGGTAGAAAATTAGGCAAAACTCTAAAATAATGAATCTAATTTCTAGTGAATCTCAAAGTTTCTGTGGAGGCAAAAATGAGTTCAAGAAATGCTTTAGGGGGGCTGGGGATGTGGCTCAAGCAGTAGCGTGCTCGCCTGGCATGCGTGCGGCCCGGGTTCGATCCTCAGCACCACATACCAACAAAGATGTTGTGTCCGCCAAAAACTAAAGAATAAATATTAAAAAAA